AGCGCGGGCAGAAAACAAAATCTTCTGAACTCGGCTCTTCTGGCCTCCATGGTGCTCTGGCCAGGAAATACAGCTATATCACCTCTGCACCCTTTGAGGACTAGGACCGCAGGACTACTCTAGGGACCATGTTGATCCTTCTCCACTAGTAAAGTGCTATTTAGTGATTCCCTCAATATGCCTCAATGGAAGCCTGGATGCAAACCAGGAACCCACAGACAATTTTCCGCGCTGGCTTTGCCATTCGCAGTCGAGAAGTGAAACTCTACATCTGCATTCATTGTTTGCATGCAGCGACTTGCAGTGTGCGCTACGCACTTGCCTGCTTTGATGGTGGCCCGGGCCTTGGTGAAGGCAATTGCATGTCCTACGTCATGTCCAGACAGTTGTGCGGCTGGCCGTTCGCTACCCATCTGTGCCCTTGCAATGCCTGAGAAATTCTGAGAGCCTGCAAAGTACCTTCCCAAACACTAGGCTTGTCGCAGCGGTGATCCGCGAAGAAGATGTAGCAGGCCCTGCCAGAAAGGTGCCGAGAGAGCGACTTCTCCCACTCCCACCGTCGGGTCAGGTAAGGTTTTCAAGGGTCTGGGGTGCTGTCCGCTGGTGCTGCGGTGCAGTAAGTACCCTTGTGCATGTATCCTAATGTATTGCAACATTGGCGCGACCTCGCCCGTGTTGGAGACGAAAGATGCCTTCGAGGTGTCACCAGCACCAAAGAGAAGGTCGAGCAGCTCAAGATTCCACATGGAGCAAAGGAATGCTGTTGAATGGTATAGACTTGCTCCCCCTAGGCAACTAGCCCACTGAGCTGCAAGCGTGCGCAGGATTTTCTGCCATCTCCGCAAGAAGCCGACAACTGTCGCGACCTTTGCAGCCCGAGCCAAGCTCATGTCATTTGGATTCAGAGCGGACTTGTAAGCATCCGGCCAAGGACGGCAGCCACCTCAAACTCCGCTGGACGTTCTTTTGGCAGCTTGGGCTCTTTCCTCATTCGCGTGACGGGAGGCTGACTCATGGTGCTGAAGCTTGGCCAACTTCCGCGACAAGAGTGTAATGAAGGCGAGGCCACTCACCATAATAACAGCTCTGAACCTCTTTGTTTCAAAACTCTCCCCAGAAGATTTAACCTTGCGAAACCTGCAGCTGGCCTTGGCTTTGCTTCGACATCCTCGTCATCGCCTTGGACTGCAGCGACAGTTGCGCTTCTAGGGCGAGTGGATTATGTATCTGTGGATTCTGTTCTTTTGTGAAGGCAGCTTTTGTTGTTTCATGTCATTTTAGTATAATTGCTTCTTTTCGGAGGTGGCATTTGGGATATAGGGTTGTCTTTTGGTTCCGTCTTTACGGGTTTTGAAACTTAGGATGTTCCCTGCGCAGTGGCTGAAAATCGGCGGCGATGGTCAAAGAACCCGAGGGAACTGGAAATTCTCCATTTTGGTGGACGTACTGACCTTGTGGTCCTGATTTGCAAACAGCTGTAGATACCAGCATTTCAGACCTTCATTGCATATAGAGCACCCTTCCGAATAGGCAAAGACAGCGCAACTACCGGCGCAAATGCCGGCACGCTCAGACCCACTGCGGAAGACCATTCGCCTGGTAAAGTGGGCCCCAGCTGCAAACTTTGTAGTGCACGGATAGGTTTCGAATGTCTTTACACATGTACATTGCGGCTTGGAGGACAGCTAATGGGACTCTCTCGGGCACAGCGCCCTCAATCTTCGATTGTCCCACATGCTCGTCATTTGCTGAAGTACTGAATTGCACGATGTGCCTTGCTTGTCATTTGGCCAAGTTGAAGTTTACGTTACCAGCAGATCACAAGCCAAAACGTTCTCACCCAAACCTTTGTATGCACGAAAAGGAAGCTATTCTTAAACGAAGGCTTCACGACGGAATGCTGCCTTGTCGTAAGAAGCGAACCAAAACAGCATGCTTAACAAATATAAGATGACTGGCATTTGTTCAGGAATGCGACAGCCATCACAACAGACGCAAGCTGGAGGTGATGAGTAGACATGACAAAAGGAGAGGTGGATACACGGCAGGCAATCATAAAACGACGTGCAGATATGTATGTACAAGTTCTGTGTTTTGCAGTTGCACATAGCTGTATGTGTCTACATCTATCTGTGCGGATCTTATATGTACACATTACATGTCCTCCCATTGCGCGGTTCGCCCCCCCCCCCCCCCCCCCCCCCCCCCCCCCAACGGAACCACGAACCCTAACCCCAACCCCCAACCCGAAACCATGAACCTCAAACCCTGAACCTTAAACCGGAAAAATGTGAACCCCAAACCCAACAACCATACCTCGCCGAGGCAGGGGCGCATGCACGCCCGGATCAGATGCATGAATTTGTTCTGTATATATATATATGTGGCCGAGACCTTTAGGGTCTATTTCACGGCTGGTTCTTCTTTCAGTAGTAGTGCAATAATAATAATAATTTTAATATTATTATGAGTATAATAATACTGACCGTAATTGTAATAGGAATAATAATAGTACTAGTAATAGTAATAGGAATAGGAATAGTAATAATACTAGTAATAGTATTAGTAGTAGTAACAGTAATAGTGAAGGTTTGGTCTGTGTGTGCACCGGCGCCAGCAAGTGCAGCCATGTAGCTCTAGCACACTTTGAAGTAAGAGATAGACAAGTTGTTTCATAGCCTGAAGAGGGGCGAAGGGCTCTCTCATTTCCGATTACGAGGTAGAGGTGAGCTATCTCATTTCTTAGAAACATAGAGGAGATCTCATTTCCACGACAGAGACATCTTTCACTCAGGAGAGAACGCAAGCTGTTTCATTTCCAAGAAAATAGAGGAGCTCTATCATGTCGTTAGAAGTGAGAAGCTCTGCACTAAAAGATAGAAGGCATCGATTCGTTTCCCTTTTTCTTTTGCTTATCAAAGGGTCTTTTCAGTTCGAACACAGGATTTCTTTCATGCCCTATAAGAAGGATCGAGGAGCTCTTTCATCTGAGAGATAGAAGAACGCATTCATGAAGTATACACGAGCTCATTTCTCGTCAAGAGGCAGAGGCGTGCCCAGCTCTACCATTACCTAACTCTTACCTGAAATTTCTCTATCTCGCAATAGGTCATGAGAGACCTCCTTTTTCACGCTGCAGGAAATGAGAGAGTTCTCTTCTATGTCGATTTTCAGAAATAGCTTCGCAGCTTCTCTATCAATGAAGAGTTTTGAAGGCCACTCTGGGCCATTCTCTGTCCATCAAATGGGACATGACATAACGCATCACTCGCTATCGTTTACGTGATAGAGTTTCGCTATCTCTGAATAGGTCATCTGAAAGCTCCTCTGTATCTTTGCAGCAAGTGAAGGAGCTCCTTGCCTCTTCTGCAAGAGCCCTCCGCTTCCTATTTTGCAATGAGCAAGCTCTTTTATCTCCTCTGGTTCCTAATAGGTCATGAGCGGGCTTCCCTCTCTCCTTCTCTTTTAGGGGATAGAGGAGGTTTTTTCATGTTGCGTTAACAGCTAGAGGACATCATTTATATCCATTCTGTCATTTCGTATGAGAAGATACAGGAGCTCATTCATCTCCTAGTCAGAGATTGAAGAACTCGTTCACAAGAGATATAGATATAAGAAATCTCTCATACAATGTATAAGAGCTCTCTCATGTCCTACCTAGTTCATTTGCCGTCACCAGCGCTCAGCTCTACCATTTCGTATCTTTTATATGACATAGCTTCTCTATCTCGCAATAGGTCATGAGAGACCTCCTCTTTCTTTTGCAGGAAATGAGAGAGGTCTCTATCTACCTTTTGTGAAAGAGCTCCCTTTGTTCAATCACAAGAACTCATTCATAGAAGCTGTAAGAGCTCTCGAATGTACTTTCTTGTTAATTTCCCGTCGATAGGTAGAGGAGCTCACAGCTCTACCACATCCTACCCTTTACATGGAAGAGGCTCCTCTATCTCGTAGCGGGTCAAGAAAGATTGTCTCTATCTCTTTGCAGAACATTAGAGAGTCCTCTACCTACCTCTTGTGAAAGAGCTCCTTCACCTCAAAATCAAATGCCACAACTCGTCTATCTTTCACTGGGACATGAGACAGCTCCATTGTGAATTTCTATTCAGAAATAGCTGCTTCTCTATCGATGAAGAAATCATGCGAGTAGCCGTTTATCGATGCATAAGAAATGACATAGCTCTTCTACCTTTTTGCGACAGATCTCTTCTTTACCCGAAATGAAAGTTTGGAAGGCCATTCTCTATCCCTTGAATGGGGACACAACTCATCAGTCTCTATCGTTTACGTGAGAGAGTTTCGCTATCTCTGAACAGGTCATCTGAAAGCTCCTTTGTGTCTGCGCAGCAAGTGAAGGAGCTGCTTGCCTCTTCTGCAATAGCTCCTCCGCTTCCTATTTTGCAATGAGCAACCTCTTCTATCTCCTTTGGTTCCTATTTCTCGTTTGCCATCACTAGGCAGAGGAGCTCTCAGCTCTACCATGACCTATCTTTTACATGAAAGAGGCTTCTCTATCTCGTAACGGTTCATGGAGTCATGACAGATCTTCTCTATCTCTTTGCAAGAAAAGAGAGAGTGCTCTACCTACCTCGTGTGAAAGAGCTCCTCCACCTTGTGATCGAGAGTGACAGAACTCGTCTATCTTTCAACGGTGCATGAGCCAGGTTTTTTGTTTGTATTTGAGAAAAAGCTTGTCTACCCGTGATATAATAAGAAATGAATAGCTCTTCTACCTTTCTGTGACAGATCTCTCCTTTATTCGAAATGAAAGTCTGGAAGGCCATTCTCTATCCCTGAAATGGGGCATGACATAACTTTTCAATCTCTATCGTTTACGTGATCGAGTTTCGCTATCTCTGAATAGGTCATCTGAAAGCTCCTCTGTATCTTTGCAGCAAGTGAAGGAGCTCCTTGCCTCTTCTGCAAGAGCCCTCCGCTTCCTCTTTTGCAATGAGCAAGCTCTTTATCTCCTCTGTTTCCTAACAGGTCATGAGACAGCTCATTTCCACACTGTCATTTCGTATGCGAAGACACAGGAGCTCATTCATTTTCTATTCAGAGATTGAAGAACTCATTCATAAGAAATGTATGAAAGTTCTCTCATGTCCTATCTAACTGATTTACCGTCACTAGGCAGAGGAGTCCTCAGCTCTACCATTTCTTATCTTTATATGACATAGCTTCTCTATCTCGCAATAATCAGGTCGTGAGAGACCTCCTCTCTCTTTTACAGGAAATGAGAGAGGTCTCTATCTACCCTTTGTGAAAGAGCTCCCTTTGTTCACTGGCAAGAACTCATTCATGAAAGCTATAAGAGTTCCCGTCGATAGGTAAAGGAGCTCACAGCTCTTCTATATCTTACCCTTTACATGAAAGAGGCTCTCTATCTCGTAGCGGGTCATGAAAGATCGTCTCTATCTCTTTGCCGGACATGAGAGTCCTCTACCTACCTCTTGTGAAAGAGCTCCCCCACCTCGTAACGTACAAAGACAGAACTCGTCTATCTTTCAATGGGACATGATCCGTCTCTTTGGTTTTGGTTGAGAAAAGCTTCTCTATCCATGAAGCAAACATGAGAGAAGCCGATTGTCTCTAGGCTGCTTATCGCTTCGTAGGAAATGACATAGCTCTTTTACCTTTTTGCGAGAGATCAACCCTAATTGAAGGTTTCGAAGGCCTATCCCTGAAATGGAGCGTCGCATAACTCATCAGTCTCTCTCGCTTACGTGAGACAGCATTTATTCTATTTCGTAACAGGTCATCTAAACGCTCTTCTATGCGTTTGTAGAAGTAAAAGAGCTCCTTGCCTCTTGTGCAAAAGCTCCTCCGCATCCTAAAGAGCAATGAGCAAGCTCTTCTATCTCCTCTCTCTTGAATAGGTCATGAGAGGGCTCCCCTCCCTCTGGTTGAGGGAATGACAGAGCTCCTCCGCCCCTTACGAAAGAGCCTTTCTCCTGCTTGAAAAGCTGCGGGCGGGTGCTCTGGCGCCTCGTAGGTTTGGGAGGGCTCCTTTTCACATCTTTATCTTTCCGACTCCGAGATATAGGAGCTCATTTTTTCGAAAGTGGTAGCAGAGATCTCTCATTTCCAAGAGATCTTTGTCACTCAGGGAGAAAGCAAGGTTTTGATTTCAAAGAAATGGAGGAGCTCTTTCATGTCCCATTAAGAGTGTGGAGCGC